GGGGGCCGCCTCGAAGACCAGGACCACGCAGCTGCCAAGCAGGAAGCAGCCGAATTCCTCGCTGCGAGCAACCGCCACACCGGCGGGCAATTGGGCACCACCAATGGCAGTCTTGCTTGCGACCAGGCTCGGGTCATCATTCAGGGAGGGGGACGCGCCAGGGGTCTGCTCCGGGGTGGGGGGAATGCCACCGGCGGCAAGTGGACCGGTGTTGAGGTCCCGATCGGCCGACATGACCGGCGTCGGGAAGGACAGGTATGAGGAGGGCGAGGAGGCATCGGCGGTGACAAGACTGTGGGTGGTGCCGCCAGCCCGGGCACCGGTGGCAGTGAAGTCCAGGCAGTCGGGCGGCGAGGCGCGGAACCATTGGGCGGTGGGGGCATAATTGGCGCGATTGGTCCGCAGGGCCGGGTCGATGTTGATGCGAATGGACCCGACATTGGTGGCGCCGATGGCCGAGAAGGTCATCCGGCCATGGGCCCAGTCCCCGGAGTAGACCACGCGCTCATTGTGGTTGAAGAGGCCGCGAACTTTGCGCACAACCGCCGGGCTGACGGACCACAGCTCGCCGGGGAAGTGACGCCGCTGGCGCACGGACCAGGCGGCCGGCGAGTGGAACCGGTGGTAATCCCCGGGGCCGAGATAAATGACGATCTGGTACAGACGCCGTGCGGGAGTGGCGGTAGCCCCGGCGGCAGCGGCGGCCTGAGTGTCGAGGTGCTCCTGGATGATGTCCTCCCCGAGGAAGGCACTGAGGACATAGTGCGATCCCTTGATCTGCTCGAGGAGGTTGCCGGTGACCGGCTGGGCGCTCATGACACGGCCATCCGCCGGGCAGGAGAGCGCCCCAAGCTGAGGGGCCGCGTCCAGGGGGCCGGTCACATCGGGCCCGATGGCACGCACCCCCGGACGCAGGTGCCGCACGAAGAAGTCCCCAAGCGAGCGGTACGCCTCGGCCGGGAGCTGCATCTCCTCCGGGTGCCCGGCGAAGTAGTGCAGCCAGCCATGGTAGAGTGGCCCGCGGAGGGAAACCGGCACAGGGAGGGAAGTGAGCCAGCCCCAGCCACGCGAAAGGAGATTCAGCGGCAGGAAGGAGTATAGCAGGGCCGGCAGGCGTCGGGTCACCTCATCCAGAGGGAGCCGCACGGTGTCGGTGGTGGAGTCGCGAGACAGGGCCTGGGGGTCCATGCGGGCACGCTGGCCCAGGGGGCAGTCCCCGGGAAGGCAGCGGACCTGTCCCGTCGGCACGAAGGGGGCCTGCGCTGGCGGGACGGTGAGCAGCATGCGCTCATAATCCGAGCAGGCGAGCGGCGTGGTGGTTGCAGCCCCGCCGGGCGTCGGGCCGGCATGCGGGAGGCCGGCATGGTAGCCGCCCTGGGGCCGGGGCCGGGAAACGGCCTGCGACAAGCGATACAGGATGAAGGCCGCACCAACGGCCACCAAGGCCAGGGGGCCGAGCCCGGGGGCAAGAGCCAGGCTGGTCGACATGCTTTCGAATGGGTAAGAGGAGG